GTGCATGTATGTCTATTTACATTCAAGGGTTCTTGCAAAACGCAGGGCTTGGATATGGAATTGGGATGAGCTCAATTGAAAATTGTGCTTTGTGAAAACCCTTGGAATATATGTAGACACATGTGTGCCTCTGCCTGCCTGCTCCAGCATAGATGCAAAGGTTGCATGATGCACAAAGTGTGAAACGATCTTGATTCAATGTGAGATTGGTAGAATGGCTGAGACTTGACAGTGTGGTTAATGTGGTATTTTACATTCTGAAAGTCCTGACAGTATGAGTGTTCTTTTCACTTATTTTTTTCTCTCTTAAAATTTAGGCTTTCATCATATACAGGGTGAGTCAAGTATGTTACCATAGCATTTGTAAGAATTTTGTTTTCTCTCTGTCTTTTGTAGGTATTAATTGATTATGGCAGATGATAATGAATTGACTCCACAGGAGAAGATAGAATTGGAGAATTGGTCCTATATCATGTAGGCAGAATGAGTCAGAGAAAAGGCTGTGTTGCATTTCATTGCAGGCACCCCAAAAAGCATATGCCAAGTCTCATTGTGAATGGAAAATTGGAGAAGATAGAATTGGAGAATTGGTCCTATATCATGTAGGCAGAATGAGTCAGAGAAAAGGCTGTGTTGCATTTCATTGCAGGCACCCCAAAAAGCATATGCCAAGTCTCATTGTGAATGGAAAATTTATTTAAAGATTAAAAGAAACTGGCACTGTATTTGATAGGTCTGGATAACTCCAATAAGTATTATTTCCTCTGGAGACACTTTAAATCTGTTGAATACAAAAATTGGCATTGAAGCAAACATTTGAAGAACAGAATTACAGCAGAGTAAAAAATTTTTTTAAAACATCCTCACTCATGTTTCTGATGATATTATAGCCAGAATTTCAACATGCAAAATTTTTACATGGAATGCAGTTTGAGCACCTCATTTACAGCTATGGTAACAGACTTTTGACTCACCCTGTATATTTAAAACATTGTGAGTTGTTCTTAAACAGTAGCAGGCAGAAAGTAATAAAAGTAATCACTCTGCATGGTGACCAGGTGATCGCATCTTCAAGATTGGGAGGGGCTTGCAAGAAGTCCGTGGCTTTGTCAACAGGGAGTTTTCTACTTATTACTGGCGCATTCCAAACGTGAGGAAAAATATGCATCGAGCCAAGCAGGATCGTGCTGTGATAAGATGTGATGACTTATTCTGCATTGGCAGGTTAGTAATGATTCAGAATTTATTGTGTACTGAGGCCCTGCATCTTAAACATATCATTTCATCTTATTAAATCAAATGTTGAATGTTAAATCAAAAATTAAATGAACACCAAACTGTCTTTCCAATACCAAATTCTCTCAATGCAGTTGAAACTATTGATGAAATTGTTTCTGTCAATTAAATATTTAAGTATCACCTCTCACCAATAATCTTTTTTCTTCTCAGGAATGGATATCAGATGCGATTGCTTGTTTATTTGGATGGATTTGGGCAAGGTGAAGGAACACATTTGTCTGTTTTCTGGATCTTGGAAGAGGGCCCAAATGACTGCTTCTTGAAATGGCCTTTTCCATATGCAATAAGATTTGAATTGCTTCCTGCTTTGCAGAAACAACAACCTGCAATGTTCTCCACCCATATTGTGTCTGGGCATCCTGCATTCCAGCAGCCTGTCCGTGGTGCAAAGCCAGACAAGTTTGGGTGTGAGCTCTTCATCACTTTGAAGAAACTGAAAGACTATTTCATCCATGCAGATGATTGCATCTACTTGAGAGTGTATGCACATTTGCTCAGTTGAGCACATTTCCTCAATTGAGGTGCTGCTCTTTTCTTTTCCTCTTTCTTAAGGATTTCATATCCCTTGAATCCCAATATCACTTTTCCAGTTGGAATATTTGATTTTTTCTAGGGCTTTGCTTGGGCTGCACCAATTTGAATGGTGTTATAATGTTTTAAATTCATCATTATTATTTTGTTGACTTTTTTTTATTCGATGTGATTAATTTTATAGATGACAGGTAATTGCATTCAGATGCAAAAGTGCTGAATATTTGAGAAATTATTTCTAGATGCATATATATTGCTGCATTTTGCTGAAAATGATTTATCGTTTATGAATTTGCCTGTGATATGCAGTGTTTGAGGCTTATTATCCAAGAATTATCTTTTTCAATAATACAATCTTGTTCAGAAATATTTCATTGGTTGCCTTGAGTGCAGAACAATGCAAGGATACCAAAATCACAGACACAATGTAATAGAGTAACATATCTCAGCTTGCTCTAGGCTGAATTCCAATCCTTTCAACGATTTCTGGGATGTGATTCTCCAGTTCTTCCTGTGTCATCTTGAAATCACTCTCCTTCCACAAGTCTTTCAGTTCATTGATGACACGAGTCATGGATTTGCCACCTAAGAAGGATACATGACAGAGAAAAGGCACATAACTCTAGGGATGCATTTCAAATTCATGTCCTTGCATGGACTGACAAGAATGGTGTATTTACAAGAAATCCAAAAACTACCTGAACCCTTAACAAAATGAATTTATAGGTGAGCTATACAACTTACCAGTGTTCCAGTCCTCTAGTTGCTATTGCATTTCCCTATACCTTGTGGCATGCTTGCTTATCACAAGGTTTTTATAAGCACGTTTCTCAGGTAGTATATTTTAAATTGGGATGAGCATGCATGTAGAATTGAAAGCTTATCCAGATGTAGGCTTCTACTGAAAAAATGAGTAGATATTTATCTATTTAAGCTTAAGAATCAATACAGAGACTGAAGATCCATCATAGTTTGAATAAAACATGGCATTGAAAGGCAAGGAAGCATTCACCACGGCAAGTCAACACTTGAGTCTCAACAAAGATAGGAAATAAACTCACGTGGAACATTCATGTCAAGCAGAGCTTGACCAAATACTGGGAACCTTGGCAGTTCCCATTTGGAGAAGCCTTCTAGGAGCTGAGGCTTTCCTTCATATCTCAAAAGTTCACAGATCCAAGCATGATGGTCTTTGATTCTCTTTGCATCCACCAGCATGTACTGATATGGTCTGAAAGAGAAAAAAGTCATCACTGTTGTTAAGATATTGGTATTAAGTAGCATTGTACAACAATTGCTGAAGCATGCAGTATCATGCCAATCTTTAACATTTGATCCCAAAGAGTCTCACCAAACAAGATTCATACCCTGAAATTTCATTTAGAGAGACAATGGCTGCATGCGGAGGTGGATAGAGAAATTTATCAGAGGGGGGTTGGTTCCCTACTTCCTTCTAACCCCACCCCACCTGCCTTCCACCACTTCCAGCTCTATCACCTTTTTCATTTCTTGTCTTAAAAACTTGAATAATTATTTCACTGGCCCCAACAAAAATTAATGTAGAAGCTATTTTTTTTTTAATGGAAAAAAAAAATAGAATGGTAACCTGGTCATAGAGGGGGCAGTTACCCCCTCTGCCCCCCCCCCCTGACTGCATGTCTAATCTCATTCTTTCACCCAGAGGGTGTGGGATGGACTATGGGAATCTGCACAAGAGGATCAGCAGGGGTAATATTTTGTCAAACATTCCAAATAAACTCTTTGGCATCAGGTCAATCCTGTTTATATGTGTTGCAGTCTTTATCCTAGTGTTCAATTAATATTCAAAGTGAAGTCATTCCACTCCATTGAGTAGAGCATGGCCAAACTGTCATCAGACATCTAGTTGTCATACTCAGCCAAACAAACATGAAGGAAAGGCCTCCAGTCTTGTTGTTAGTGTGCAAGAGTCAATAATCTGAAATAAGGCCCCAGTCTAAGCTGAGGATAAAATCCTTCCATGAAATAGTTGAAATGAAGAAATTGTCATCTATCTGGAAGGATGCTATTTTGAAAGCCAAATCATGGCATGAAAAAAATGTTCATGACATCTCAGCAGCAGCTTATCTGAATAATTTGACTTCAGACATCTGCTCAATCACAATTCATGTTGCAATTCTCAAACAGATTTGGAATCAAAGTTAGTTCATTACATTACTTCATAGTTATTTCAGGAACATACATTTACCTCAGAGGCCTCTGCTCATCAGGAAGAATTTGATACCTATGCAGCACAAGGAAGAGCCCAAGGTCTCTATCAAAAGCAGATATTTTCAGTCGCTTGTTCAACTCCAGCATCTAAAACAAGGAACCAGCAGGCATTATTAGCAACGATTGATCCTCATGCTTTTCTCCAACTTTGCATGTCAATGTAAAAGCCATGAAATTATTTTTGAGATACATTCCATCTTACAAGGTTAAGCAATTGTGAAGTCTACTACAATTCTTCAGGGCTTCAGGATTTCAAATTGGTCCAGCAGGTTGTAAACCTCTAATGTATGTTTGCCTCTGCTAGGCCTACAGAAGAGGGATAAAAGCAACAAGATATCCTTCCCATTCTTGACCAATGTAGGGAATCCTTCACTATTTTTCTGGTCCGTGAAGTCCTTGCAGCCTTGCACAACAAAATTAAAGCCTGCAGCACCAAGATTCCCTTCAATGATAGTACACCATACTACGTCTCTTTCAAGGTACAAAACATATCTGTACAAGTAAAGGCCATAGCAAAAGCCTGGACTGAATGCAGATTTAATTGTTTTTGATGACAAGAAATAGGACTGGCTTTATTTGTTGATTCCATAGCCATAAATAAGACTTCACAGTCAAAATATTTTTTTACTTGCACCAACAAAAAACCATTGCACATCAGTTTATTCCAGTTGGAATAATAAGAGAAACATGACACCTCAAAAATTGTGAAATTCAGTAGAGAGGACCAGGAGAATTGATGAGAGACTAACCACCTATTTCAATTGATTTACATCCTATTATGCTTACCAAACTCTGGTATTTACAAGTGATCCCAGGTAAGACTTGAAAAATTTTGTCACATTCTGTGCATTCAATTTTTTATACATCCAACCACAATTTCAACCTAGCACCCAATTAAATTGTGTCTGTACTTATGGCTGAATGGAACATGAGCAATCATGAACTGTTGGAGTTTGTGCATTATTTAGTCATTATGACAGTAACTGTCATTGCATAGATCACCTGATATCAAGAAGTATTATTAAGGTTTTTCTTTAGAAGCATAGGTTTTAAAAGTATGCTTTTCCAATTTGAGCATAATAGCACATGAATTCAGTCCACATATATTTCAAGATGCAGCATTTTTTGTCAAACTGACCTCTTCCTCTGAGGCAAGAAGGGATACCAAAAGTGTCACTGCATGAAGATTCCAACCATTTTCCTGTGCTCTTCTGGAGACCCTCCTCAATTCATCAACCTGCACTCTAGCTGGTAAGCCTTCAATTCCAAACAGTTAATCAATGTCATTCTTCAATAATTTGCTGAATATGAAGGCTTACATATGAAACAGAGTCAAATAAAGAATTTCTGAGTATACTTTTTATTTCTATAAAAACAATATTTCAGCATTATATGACACTAACTGACTTCAAACCAAGTTGATAACATGATGGCACCCAAAATTCAGCAAGATGAAGTTCACATTTTGGTTTGAATTAAAAAAGTAGGATGAACAATGGTGGAGTGACTTTAGAAAGAATGTACAAAATGTTGGTCATGATTATATTGCTTTTCTTTGCTGATTTTGCTAATAGCACATTGCACTTGTAGGTACCAAAGGTCAAAATTACTCAGAATGACTTTATATTCTTTAACATGTTGACTGCCATGTGACACGCCAGTGTGTCACATTCACCATAGGGAAGAACAGTAGTTCCAAACCCCTTGGTGGTCAACATGTAGGTTAAAAGTTAAAATATGCATTTCTAAATGCAAAATATGCAGAACAGACAATAACCACTTGAAACAAATAGCTAAACATAAACTACAACATGGATATTTCACATCCTCCAAGTAATATCTGTTCAGACAAGAGTGAAATTAGTGTTAGAGTACACTAGCACTTTTACTACTCCCAGCCTTAGGATGCATACACTCCAAACAATTAGAGGGTAAATGACAAAACTAATTAGTATTAATCCTGAAACCCAAAGGAGGCATTTGCGTTGGTCTGACTAAACACCTGACTTTGTTCTGGTCAAATACCGTCTTGGAGGCTGCTGGATGCAAAATACTGAAGAACAGGCTTCTCTTAGAGCAAAATGAGAGATCCCAGGAGGGAGATATTGAAGCCCTGATCCATTTATGCTGTTCATGAGAGGAGACCTGACTTTATTTCAGTCATTTTCCCCTTACTTTTGGTCCACACTAAGATGCTGAAAGATGATAGTACCACTGAACTTAGGCAAGGCCATATATTTCCTGTCATTTTCAGGGAGTTTACATTCTAAAACCATACCTATTAATCAAAATATACATTTCTTCACTGATTTTACTCTTTTGCCAGCTCACAATCTGCTCAGGGTGGGAGATAATGAAACTAACCCATAGGCAGGCAGAGGATTCACAGATTTAATTATTTTATTCAATATCAAGGACTCACTTACCAATGTGGGGAGTGATTCCAAGGTCAACCATAAGCTCTAACATTTCTGATGCATGATTCCCAGTAAGAATTTTCTTCATCTCTGCCCATATCCTTTCACCAGAGATTCTATCTAAACCAGATGCATTCTCACGAATAGCAACCAAGGTAGTTTTTTCATGGGTCGTTCCCTCATTTGCGATACGCCCAAAGAACCTGGGAAACAAGAAAACAGAACATCAAATCCAACTGCATAATGCAAACTATCCTATAATTTCTCATTCATGCTACACCTCAAATGGGATATACACCACACTAGTACCATGGTATTACAGATGGTAATGGCAGCATATGTATCTATGCTGAATGGTAACCAGAGTATAAATTTGCAATGAACCTACCTGAAGTAACGAAGAATCCTCAAGTAGTCCTCCTGAATTCTTTGCCTTGCATCTCCAACAAAGGTTATTCTCCTTTTCCTGAGGTCCTCCACACCATTGAAGTAGTCATACACTGTCCCATCTAGTCCTGCATTAAATGGAAAAAAGTCCATGCCTGTGAAACCCATGTCATATACATGAAACACGTGTAAGCATATGAACAGCAAGACACAGTAGAAGTATGATATCAGGATGCATGGGAGAAGCTTGCTATGCCTGCAGCTATATTGAGTCATCCATTGAGGAGCTACACCAGGGAAAGAAGATGTCCCAGGGGGAGATGTCTTGCTGGGACAGATGCTGGATTAAAAGTTGAGGTTATGGTTAATAGGCAAGCACTTTGTGAGAAATCCATCTAGGGGGCATGCCAATAGGATGAGAATTTCCTTGGCAGTGAAGGAGGCTAGATGGAGAGAGACCAACAACCATGCATAAGCTGTCTCAGGCACAAATCCATGGTAGCACCTTGCTTTCATCATTCAGGCCTTAATTCACTAGTGTTCTCCATCTGCCAATGATGCAGAGGATTCAATGCAAAACTATCACTTGTTCAAATCCAAAGCTTTCTTTTTCAATGAGAACATTTACAACTAGAATAACATATGTATTTTGCTGTTTCTCCACCTGCTATAATTCTGTCTATGGGCTTTTATGCAATCCCCTACTTATTTAACATCATGTACATACTGTCATGACAAGGCAGAGGTGGAATTTATCCATTTGAAAATGCAGAAGTGACTGGAAAAAAATGTTGGAAAGCTTCTTCACTATTTTCAATCACAAGTTGGTCCCTGTAGCTGGCCAGAGGATATCATTGGATTGGAATGTAACACTGACTTAAGGTACGTCAGAGATATATCGGGTTAGGTAGTTTTCTGATACAATTGTAGACTTCGTACAGTTCAGTACAGTTTTTCCTATTTTGTATGGTCTCCGTATGGGAGTAGGAAAGTAACCTTGAACCCACACAGTGCAGGTCCCAGTACACCAGTAAGACAACTTTAGCTTTTACATATTCTAAATATACCCTACATGAGAACAGGCTGGCACCACAAGGAAACTGCAAACAGGTAACAGGGGTATGTCAGTTAATTGCTCCACATCTTGCACTTAAGATCTTAGGAGTTCCTTTTACATGGTACAATTCTGACATGATAATTTTGATTCAGTCCTTTCACTTTCTTGCACAAAAGTTGTACTCCAAGGAACTTCATGTGCAAGTCTTACTCTCCAGTTATGCAGGAAATTATTGCATGCAAGGTCTTGAAGGCAAACTCTAATAGGTAATCTTAATATTGATCAGAATCAACACAGATACACAGATAACACCCTTCTAGTGAGGATGAGAGAATGGAAGTCTGTTCAATTTCAAAAATTGACACAAGCAGGATGGATAAGGTGTGGGTTAGAGAAATAGAAAGAGAGATGCAATTCTATCAAAGTCTGGAACAAAAGATTCCAAGTGTACCTGAACAAATGCAGAATTTCAGCCTTAAATTGTGAACTTTACACGTCGTGATTCGTTTTCTGAAGGAATCTAACTACCTAAGAATGGTTCCTTGTACCTTAACTACCAGTTCAGTGCAGACGGACGTAGGTGAAGGGTCAGTCAGCACTTGACTTGAACTGCATGTCTGCCATCTGTGGTCACATCAATCCTCAAAGTTGTAACCTAATATAATGTATCTTTTTGTCGTTGACTTTCAGTATGTCTACATCTTTGACTTCTACCGTACATGACCTGTCGGACACATTTCGAAGTACTGGTAGGGGAAAAACATGAAACGATTTTAAAATCTTTACGAGATGACCACTGAGGTCACAAATAAGCCTTGAAGGCTATCAAGACCATAAAGATTATAATGGTAATGATCAGGACTTTAATATAATTACAACAAGAGGGATACATAATATCCATGTCTATAATAGTCAACTGGGACAAGGGGAGACAGTATAGATTAGAAGACAGTAGGACAATGAAAGAATCTATAATGAGAGTACACACTCTTTGGGTGCAGTAATTTTTCATTCACATTCTTCTCAATTCAGATCCTACCAATCTGTCACGTGAATAACTGAAGGTAGGGAGGTTGGATGGACATGAGAGGATGAAAGAAAGCCAGGGGACGGCCGGGAATTGAACCCGGGCCTCCTGATTGCCGGTCAGGTGTGCTACCATTACACCACCGAACCCAGGACATTCAATCGTGCCTCTCAACACTGCCTTCATCACAAATCTCTCAAAGAGCAAATCAAAATGAAATTATATAGTCATGCAACTGTGCTTATTGGGAACCTCTCAAAATATGGCTTATCAACGAATGTTATACGTTTTTTTCACCATAACCATAACTGGTTAGTCTGACTCGACCATGTTAGTGTATACAATAGTAAAAGTGTCCGATTACTAACAATAACCCAAACCTATCCTTATGAGATGAAAAGCAACTCCAAAAACACTACTAGACATCTACAGAGATCTGGCAGAGGGTGACATAGGCCTTCAGCTTACCTCAAAGTTCACCTTATCATCAATCCTGGGTGTGATAGTTCCATGCTTTTCTCCTTTGTTATTGATGAGGCGGACATTCTCCTCTGTGAATATTTTCTTCATTTCCTCAGGAGTTGCTGTTGTGGCAAAATCCAAGTCTTCTGGTCTTTTCCCCATCAATAAGTCTCTGTTACAAAGACAAATTATTATAGGGAATATTTTGCTTTTCACTAAGTCAAACAATAAGTTCAAACATCAGAAGATACACATAAATTAGTTTTCAGTTGACTGAAAGTAGATCAGACTTATTTTAGACCTGTTGACTGATGAGAAGGCCTATTAGAGGCCTAATGCTATACCATACATTGATGCAGCTGTTTGATTCTCTCAAGAACATCACAAGAATTAATTCATGCACTTTGAGAACAAGAAGAGTGGCATGAGTAAAGGATGAGAGGGTGCATATCTGAGGCAAGACCTATGCAAGGGATCACCTAGGTTGGGGAACAATATTGGAATAATAACTCTTTATACCTGGTGATCAATATAATTCTTTTGACAAAACATTTCTGATCCATCAGCTCTGCATGCATCAGCCACATGCAATCTGCAAGTGGTGACATACTTGGCTACAACCAAAATCCAAGACATTAATCCATCTTATATCAATCTCAACACATTCATGAACACATTCTCCAAATTCATTCTCATTGAATAATAAAGATAATGAGTCAGACTACGAACAGAATATATACCGTTACTATATACTATATAGTAAATATAATGCCTATAATGATAAGTTTAACCATTCCATGAAGGACTACAATATAAAATTTAAGAGTCCCTCAATTTCTGGGGATAACAAGGTTATATATACTTATAACCCAGAGCATTTGAGGTTGAAACATGGTCCACAAATTGTAAAAGTCCCCAGCCATCTTCTGATCCACTGAAAATTCAGTTTGACGTTTATCACGTTTATTGACCTAAGGACTGAATATAAAGTTTACTACATCTTGCTTGAAATTGTTTATTAGAATAGAGACATTATGCAAAATTGATGAGTGTCAGTATGAGCTGTTGCCCGGCAATATATACAAATTGATGCCTGGGGTTGCATACACCCCACCTCACAAATGCCAGGTTAATAAGCTTCCTGAAAAAGATGCAATTCAATTAATACCTGCTACCTGGACTGCAACCTCTAGATCTGCAGTTTTGACATCATTACAGGCTCCTTCCTTTACTTGAAACCAATGGGACAATTTTAAAGTTTGCAGGCATGCGTTCGCACTCTGATAGTGTCTCCTAGTTTGTTAAATAAATACACAGGCATTGGGTAAACTTGTATCCTGCACTTGTCTAACTGATAGGCTTCCAGTGCCTTCGGTTCGAATCGCGAAAACACGTTTAAAAAATAATGAAAAATTCGAGCTCACCGAACAGCTCCCCCTGCTACCCTTAACTCATATCCATGTCTTTTGAAGATGTCATGGAGTTTGGTCAGTTCAGGGGTGAATATGGACTTAAATTCGGGGGTTTCGAGTTTCATCGTTGTCAAATGCGATTTCTTCTGGTTTCCCGTATGGTTATGATGATTATTCCGTTGGAATAGAAACCCTACATTAAAAAGTAATTTGCTGCTATCATTTTGAGAGTTTACCAAGCAAAAGATTTTCCGGAACACGTGCTTCAAAGGCGTACGGGAAGCAGACATGTTTTGCGGTGCTGCCGAATCCTCTCTTTGCCGCCTTTGCGTTTAGAGGCAAGCAGTGAAACTACAAGAACCAAATAAAAATATTCTTCCATGCGCGGTAAACACTACAGTTAACTGATGAACAAATTAGAACAGAAAAATTCTCTAAGGCTGTGTAGCCAGGACCTAAGATTTTGTTCAGCCAATCGCAGAGGACCGTGTCGTGTGCTCATATCCGAAATGCCATCGTGCCACCATGTCGATTGTAAGGTTCCTAGTTAGTGAAGCGATGCCGACATTTTCGAAGACTGTAGGCCTTCCAGATCTAAAGGTTCAGACAAAATTAAAGGTCGTGGAGGCCAAAGTCTTGTGGACAGATGGAGATATGAAGGATTGGAGACGAAATAAATAGTAAACTCGTCTCGGATACTGCATGTGGAAGCCGGTGTCGATCAGACTCATCCAACCATTAGATGGACTAATCATGGTTTCTTGTCCTTCAGTTCTAGTTTACCTAATTTTGGCGTTTGTGTGAGTCTAGTAGCAGTTCGTCTACATTTCAGGGGAGCCTAAAGTGAGGATAAACTACAGTAACAGACCAGTTTAAAATCTGTTAACTGTAGTTAAATTGGTAGATGCACCAGCATTTCTATGGGTATCTGATTTCCTGAATATTTTTCTTGTTGAGGTATTCATACATCATTTGTAAGTTTTCTCTTCAGTGGTGTTGCAAACCTCTGAGTCATCAGCTAAAAGTTGCTTGAGCTGCTTGTCTAGTAATAGCAGCCCATGAAATGCTGAGGTCATGGTTCTTAAACAAAACAAAAACTGGGATAATTTGAATTACCACATTATTTAATATGTTTCGGTTTATAACCATGATTTGCTAACAGGAACCTAGGGGGCACAATTGTTTTATTAGTTCAAGTTCCAGTTTAGTATATCAGTGAGCTGAAACTGGAATGAGGGTAATTTAATGCCAATTTAGTGTCAGTTAACTGAGTATGAAGCTGAAAAGAAAGAGTAATTTCATATTGTCAGTTAATACTGTGCCTCCAGTTTCAGTCAGCTGGAATGAAACTGAAATTGAGTGATAATATAAAAATCATAGTTAGCCAGCCTTACACCCACAAGAAGTATGCATGTTTTGGGGCTATTAGGCTAGCACACTTGGTGCATTCAGTTGAACAGCAACTAATCACTTTGCTTGAGAAGAGGAACTGTTAAATTCTTATTTGGCATCAAGTTTAAGGCCAAAGCTGGTGCTTCTTATTTTCCTCTTAACATTCAATTGATTAAGACTCTAAAGATTAGGACTAGACTACATTAACAGGCCAGTGCTTAGGGTTTTTTTTTTTTTTTAGCTTTTTGAAGAATATCAATATGAGACTTTGGCATCAATCAGTCATACAACAATTTCCATGTGATGCAGTTTTTTTTATTGCTATATTTCAACATCATCCCTATATCCAACACCCTTTCTTGGAAAGTGTTATACAGTGATTTTCAATTGATTGCATGTCACCTACCATGACTGAAGTAGGAATTACTTAATTCCCAGTTCTGTCTGATTTAGTAAGGAGCAGTTATTTTGAGCAGCAGATATTGCTCAATTGGATGATGTGGCACAATACAGAAGTGGTATATGAGGGTGAAATCAATCAAAAATCACTGTATAGAGGTGGACAGGTATCTAAAAACAGACCAAATTTTCTTTTGACTGCTTAGATGACTTTGTATAGTGTGTTAGGCTAAACCAGCTCCATTTATGCAGCTGTCAGTTAAACAGATTATGGCCTAGTTTCCCTAATAGTAATAATAGGACCTATGCCTGCTGTCATGCTCAACTCCAAGCCTATTATAATAAGGCTTTCATAGATTTCTTTTTTATGCAAGTCATGGAGCCTCCATTTTCTTTTCATATTTTCAGGTCCTTTGATAGACCTACCCTGAAACAATGGCGGTGACAGTACAAAACGCCATCTCAAAATTTTGTCAGGAGTATCAAAGCTCCACACCGAAGAAGTTGAAGATCATTGATGCATACTTGGTGTATGTCTTGCTGACAGGCATTGCACAGTTTGTCTATTGCTGCATTGTTGGGACTTTCCCATTCAATTCATTCCTGAGTGGTTTCATCTCCTGCGTGGCATCTTTTGTCCTTGCTGTATGCCTGAGGCTCCAAATCAACCCTCAAAACAAGCAGCAGTTTTTTGGTGTCAGTTCTGAGAGGGCTTTTGCTGATTTCATTTTTGCTCACATCATCTTGCATCTTGTTGTGATGAATTTCATTGGTTGATGTCTCATGGTGATGGTATATATTATTGCATTTGGACAATGATTGGCCTGTGTTTGGGAAAAATCTGGGATCTTCAATGTGTGCATGATGGGACTCCAATGCTGGAATTTCAGCAAAAATGTTATTGAAATAAATCCAATATAAATATGAAAGTGTGCTATTGTGTTTGAGTTAATACATTTTTGCAGTTGTCTACTTGTACAGGAAGGGATGGAGTGAGATTATTCAGCCTGAAGAGGATACTTTTGATATTAATTAATTTTGGCATTAGAGTTAATAAAATGACTGTTACGGTAATACATATCATTCTGACTCGATTTCCAGCTGATGAAGTAGCTTGCTGATACACATTGAAACTAGTAATCATCATAATCAGAGCCATATATTTTCCATGATACTCCTTTATCACCTCTCAAACTATGCCCTGAGGACCTGATTTCTTTCTCACTTCTCCTCACTCCTCACTAATTGATATAAAAGGGAGGTCACTTATGTTCCCAATATCAGATCTGCAAAGATGTTGGGGTGGACATTGTGGTACAACTTAGCAGTTCTGGGTGAACTGGCTACCACACATATTATTGATGGAAAGAAATCCTCATGAATTATTTTCACCTGAATTATTTTTCATTGCACAGAGTTATAGATTATAATGGATCCATTATGTGCAGTTACATTATTTAAAGCTAGGAGTTAGCTAATAGAGATAGTTGGTGTAATGTAATAGGGATGGTATGGAGAGGTGCAACTAAATGTCCTGGGTTAGGTTATGTAGTGATAGCACACCTGACTGGCAATCAGGAGGCTTGGTCCAGGTCATTCCTTGGTGTTTTCATACTCTCATGCCACTAATCTCTTCCATTGGCAAGCCATGCATTACAGTTGCTAAACTGGCAACTAGGCCTACTGTTGTCTGCAGGGTTGACCAAAAGAAGTAAACACTTTAAATTTTGTCGTAAAATACATATTTCAAAAAGATTGACATTAAATTTAAGTTAATGTTGCCTAATATGTTCTTGAAGAGGTGTTGGAAGTTTCATTCACCTTTGGCGACCCACTCTTGAATTATGACAGATTTTGTCAAAGGGGTCGAGATTCTCAGTGAACAGGCATGACTACTGTTGTAAGGCACAAATCCACATTTGCATGGAAATGCCTGAAAATGTATATGCATGCATGACATTTTCAGCTGGTGAAAAATATATATTTGGCAACATCCAGTTAAGTTTTCACAATGATCTGTCCAGAGAAACAGAATCTTTAAAATTTAAAATAAAATGTGGATTCCTGCCTTGCAGCATTTGTCAATTGTAATCATCATAAATTGTGATAAATTGTATAATCATCTTGACTGTCTACTTATATATTTAAAAAAAATCAATTTGGCATTTTACCATTTTGATAAGAGTGGGCAGCCAAAGGTGCATGAAGCTTCAGCAGCTTTTCAAGAACATATTAGACAATGTTCATTTAGATTTTTAAGTCAATCCATTCACAAATATGGACTTAATTGCAAAATTGTAAGTGGGTTGCTTTTTTTTGGGCCAATCCTGTATATCCTATAGCAATGGCCCAAAGTGACCATTATGATATGTCATGTTGCTCTATATATGCATCTTTTAAGCAGTGTTGCCTCCCAGCATTTTATGAATACATTCCAAGTATCTGCCCATGATGCAGAAGCCTCGTGGGATTTATTCCGTGGTGGAGAGCTGTTTTGAAGAAAACCCATTCTGTATACATGGTGAGTTGAGGCAAGAAAAGACTCCATCACCAGAAGACATGGCATTTGCATTTCATTTTTGTATCTGCCACTCTGAGGGAGCAGCTGACCTGAAACTTATATTCAACCCTACTTGAGATACCTGATAGATTCCTTGATACATGGTAGATTCCTTAGCTCTATCAACACAGGAGGTGTCAGACATTCATAACTGGTGAAGGAAAAATCTGCTTTCATTTTAACATTCACTTTATATATGGGGGCACACTTATGAAGAGAGACATGAGCATGACCCTCTCACTCTTGGCACAAGATGTGACATACCTAGAGAAAATGAAGCAAAGGAAAACCTTTATATGAAAAGCAAAGACATGAAACTATGTATGGTTTGCACAAATCCTTAACGATACCTCAGAATGCATCATGATTACAAATCTCAGCAGCTTGTTTGCTGGAAAAATATTTTCAGCAGTGGTTGTTTCAGAAATGACTGGTGATAGATTCAATCCTAAAGCATATCAGGAGAAAAACAGACACACACATTGGCACACATTCAAAGTTTCCTTATAAAAGAATAGAGTTGAAAGAGCAAAATTATTGTGCATAATTTGGAGGTGGTGGGTTTTATGGCATTGTTTAGTGTGAGAGGCACTACAAAAGTAGTGAGAAATACTACAATTATATTTTCACATTGTCAATATGCTTTTGTTGCTTCTCAAAGTCTTCCCCCTTGTGGGCAATACGAGTGTATGGTCTTGAACCACCTCTGGAAGCATGTAGAGATGTCATTGGTGGTGGTCTGCAAAGTAGCTTTGACTACCTCTTCAATGCTCCCAATGTGACATCTCTTGAGGTGTTCTTTCATCTTGGGGAAGTGCCTGAGTTATATGGTGCCAGATTAGGAGATGAGGGAGCAGATGGATGGCACTATCCTGGAGGACACCAGACATGGCATAGGAGAGGTTGGAAAAAGCAGGGTCATGGTGCAACATCTGCATCCTGAAGTGGCATCTTCGGTTGCATTTTCTGGACCCTGGAAAACTAGGAGCTAACATTGGCTGGTGTACCACTTTGTATTTACTGTTAATATTACTAAATGTACCATTGCTCTTGAAGAACATGACAAACATGCTTTTCTCAGTACTCCCAGTACTTCCCTTTGTGGGAACATCATAATGGTTGACCCATGTTTTGTCACCAGCCTCAATGTCACACTAAGACTTCCAATCTTCAAGTTTCTTCGTCAAGATATGACTAGAGGCCTGGGTCAACAAATGAGGCATCCACCTGGAACAGACCTTCAATTTTAGTTTTTCAAAGAATGGTGTTGACATCTTGCCCACCTTTCCCCTATGTTTTCTACATTTTGTCACATGTTTGGTNGCTGTTTTGAAGAAAACCCATTCTGTATACATGGTGAGTTGAGGCAAGAAAAGACTCCATCACCAGAAGACATGGCATTTGCATTTCATTTTTGTATCTGCCACTCTGAGGGAGCAGCTGACCTGAAACTTATATTCAACCCTACTTGAGATACCTGATAGATTCCTTGATACATGGTAGATTCCTTAGCTCTATCAACACAGGAGGTGTCAGACATTCATAACTGGTGAAGGAAAAATCTGCTTTCATTTTGACATTCACTTTATATATGGGGGCACACTTATGAAGAGAGACATGAGCATGACCCTCTCACTCTTGGCACAAGATGTGACATACCTAGAGAAAATGAAGCAAAGGAAAACCTTTATATGAAAAGCAAAGACATGAAACTATGTATGGTTTGCACAAATCCTTAACGATACCTCAGAATGCATCATGATTACAAATCTCAGCAGCTTGTTTGCTGGAAAAATATTTTCAGCAGTGGTTGTTTCAGAAATGACTGGTGATAGATTCAATCCTAAAGCATATCAGGAGAAAAACAGACACACACATTGGCACACATTCAAAGTTTCCTTATAAAAGAATAGAGTTGAAAGAGCAAAATTATTGTGCATAATTTGGAGGTGGTGGGTTTTATGGCATTGTTTAGTGTGAGAGGCACTACAAAAGTAGTGAGAAATACTACAATTATATTTTCACATTGTCAATATGCTTTTGTTGCTTTTCAAAGTCTTCCCCCTTGTGGGCAATACGAGTGTATAGTCTTGAACCACCTCTGGAAGCATGTAGAGATGTCATTGGTGGTGGTCTGCAAAGTAGCTTTGACTACCTCTTCAATGCTCCCAATGTGACATCTCTTGAGGTGTTCTTTCATCTTGGGGAAGTGCCTGAGTCATATGGTGCCAGATTAGGAGATGAGGGAGCAGATGGATGGCACTATCCTGGAGGACACCAGACATGGCATAGGAGAGGCTGGAAAAAGCAGGGTCATGGTGCAACATCTGCATCCTGAAGTGGCATCTTTGGTTGCATTTTCTGGACCCTGGAAAACTAGGAGCTAACATTGGCTGGTGTACTACTTTGTATTTACTGTTAATATTACTAAATGTACCATTGCTCTTGAAGAACATGACAAACATGCTTATCTCAGTACTCCCAGTACTTCCCTTTGTGGGAACATCATAATGGTTGACCCATGTTTTGTCACCAGCCTCAATGTCACACTAAGACTTCCAATCTTCAAGTTTCTTCATCAAGATATGATTAGAGGCCTGGGTCAACAAATGAGGCATCCACCTGGAACAGACCTTCAATTTTAGTTTTTCAAAGAATGGTGTTGACATCTTGCCCACCTTTCCCCTATGTTTTCTACATTTTGTCACATGTTTGGTCATCAGTTGTTGCTGGGAAGCCATATCAGGTGTCATTATGAGAGGACTCTTGGCTGAACTTTAATTTGTTGACCCAGCGATGGAAGGGGGTAAGGAAGGATGCATAGTCTCCCAGAGCTCCTTTCATCTCAGCAAAAAAGTAATTTGGCTCCAAAATCTGCTTCATGCAGTGGAAGATTAATCTCATTGCTCCAGGACACACATTGGGTCAACAGTGGCCATATGGGATCACTAACATTTGTTACAAAATGTAAGTTCAAGGACAGGGTAATTGAGCTGCAAAGCTCATGTTAGCCACATGCAATATTCACAAAAATTTTTTTTTTTTTTGGGGGGGGGGGGGGGGGGGGGGGGGGGAATTGACATCTCTACATGCTTCCAGAGGTGGTTCAAGACCATACACTCGTATTGCCCACAAGGGGGGGGTGAAGGAAATTAAAATATGTAGTTGTCTTTTTTGCTTAAAAATTCTTGGGAAAAAAATTATCCCATTTTATTTTTTTTTCTTCCTTATTGTCAATGGAAACCTTGATTTTTCAGTTTTAATCATCTCAGAGCTCATGATTTTTCCTATCATAGTATGCAGAAATGGACCCCATTCTGGTAGGGCATGCTCAATGATTTGAAAATACTTATGTTATTGCAATGGTGGCCACCTGATGATACTGAATATATTCTATTGCTTGTTTTTTTTTTCACTTTCTTGGTCTGGATGTGAATGGTAAAGCTTACTGCACTAATTGCACAAGCATTCATGTGATATATTTTCAAATTTTCTTATTTGATGGTATTATGGGTATGTAATGAAAAAGTGTGACTTTCAATCATCAAAATCCACTCTATAGTAATGAGCTTATTTTCCATTTAAAGCAAAGAGAATATCTTCCCACAATTGCTTAATATGTATAGTATGATTTGTTAACCTCCAACCAGCTTGGGTCAATGTTTAGTCTTCCATTCTGATCTGAAAGCCATCATCTTTTCATCCAGGCCCTATGCTGCTGTTCAAGAAATCCAAAGATGATGGAAATGAGGAGCTTTTCTATGCATGCAGTGCAACAAGAAAGAATAATGGATGCTCTCCCCACATTCCATTCAGCATTTGGAAGGCCAAAAAGATTTCTCCATCACCCAAGCATCATCAGAAATGCCCCACGGAGCCTCAGAGTCTGTATGTTCTTAATCACATAATTGCCCCCCCCACTTTATGAATAAGGATTTCTGCTGTGGTGCTGAAGGCAGGATCTGACTCTTCTCCAGGACATCCCATCCAAAAGGGAAGCTGGTGATTTTATGCTGTGATTGTGGTCTGCCTGTTGGCCATAATGATTCCCACGAGTCTCATGTCAAAGTGGAAGGCAACAAGGGATACCTCCTTCACCATCCATCCATGGTGGGCTCTTCAACTTCACATCTTTCCATCTTAGTGCCTTTTCATTCACTACTGATCCTTTCAACCTAACCAACTGACTAATTTTTTATCAGTCAACAACAAATTGTCTTCATTGTGCTCCCATTTTCATTTCTGCTAAACTGCCTGAGGTTATTCCCATTGCCTTCTTTCCTCATCCAAGGCATTATTTTCATTTTCTGACTTGTGCAAAATTAACTGTTGCATGTTTCCCCCATATAAGAATATAGCAATGAGAATTTTTTCTTGCAGTGGTTGACCCCACATTCAGATGGAACAGCACAAGCACAATACTTTTTCAGCAAACCTGTGGTTGAGGTTATTTTGAAGAACTTACGTTCACTTGGAATCCAAAGCATCATCTGCATCGGGTGCCCCAGTCTCCTTGAGGCCGCCCAAAGCAATACATTGCTATTGGACATTGATGAAAGATTTGTAAGTAATGTCTTTGAAAACTTCCATTCAAGTGGATAAGCCATAGGTCTGTGCAAAATTAATAGTTTCATCCTGGTTCAGGAAAACTTTCTTGTCTGAAATATGCTCTTGTGATTTCTTGTTAATTTTTCCTACATATTTCTCTCAAGTGAACGGTTCATTACATTGAAGTTTGTAGATTTCATAAAACAAACATTGCAAAATCTTGTGTCACATACCTCATGTTTTAACTGCCACTCAAAATTTAATTTACCCATATCAGTTACTCATAAAAAGATAGTGGAAGAGTGGTGCAAAGGACCATCAGGAAGCTTTCAATACCTGCTATATAAATGGGGTTAATTTTTCCATATTACTTTTTCAATGATGGTCCTATTTCATCTCATTTAGATTATGTTATGAAAGTGTGAAGGTTTGTGGGACCTTTCCATAATTTCATGCTTTGATCAATACAGAAGTGCAGCTTCCAGTTATGCAAAGTTGCCTACTCTGAAATTTTTCATTAGAATTTCTCAGAAAAGCTGCTTTTTCCAAAGCATTGATGTGATGATGCTTGTTTTCCAGCATAACTTCTGGAGCCAGGATTCCTTCCTTCACTACAACATGTACAATCACTGGTTTTTCCATGATGGAGACAGACAAAGATTCTTGGATTGGCTCCAAACGCAAAATTCCCAGCGCTTGGCCATCGTCATCGATCCTCCGTTTGGAGGCCGACTGGATGCTCTCAGTCACAGCGTTCATCGCCTCCTGAAGGACTGTCGAGAGTGTGGGGTGCCATCCACAGGTGGGTTTCTGTCTTGGCTTGTAGAGAGACGACTGTCTCATTTGCCAGATTCTGTCTGCTACTTTTCTGTGTGGCACATGCTGCTCCCTGACAGTACACAATCCAGAATGTCCCTAGCCACCAAGCATGTTCCCTACTTTAGACTTTTTGGGGGATGAACTCTCTTTGCTATTCATCTAAAGAATGGTAAACAGAAAAAGATGACAGGAAACCAATCTTCTAAAAGCCCTGAGTTATACTTTTGTTCAGTTCTGGAAGGTGTTTCATTTTTTCCTTGGTGGAAAAACAAGTTTTGCAGCGACCAAAATTAGATTCAAATTGGCATCCAATCAGAACCTGGAAAAAAATTCAGAGGATAGAAGGATTATGAGAGGCTGCTTGAAAAATCATTGACCTTTACCATTACATGGGAGGGTGGGAATAATTGCATACTTTCATCAGGTAAGCTAAAGATTTAAAAATCTGAATCTTAAGAAAAATTCGACCTTTATTTTATACATTAAACATAGAACACTAACGCCTGCCTTGTTTTTCAACTTTTATATTTATTCAATTTATGACTGATGTTGATAGCAGTGGAATGCTCCCCTCAAATAGAAGCAGCTACTGTGTTGGAGAGAATCTCTTGAATGGTTTCATATAGCACACACTTCATTTTGCCATGAAAGGGTGACAGTGAATCAGCAGCTTCTAAAACTTATCATTGTCTGAGCATTATTCATTTGCAATACATGTGGATTTTGCACATGTGGACATCACCTCCTTGGATCAGAGGGGAAAGCAGTGTTCCAAGAGCACCAGGTTTGCAGCTAAGTGAACAGACCTTTACCAGACAGGTGGATTTAATGGCTCAGGTAGCAGGATGTAATTGAACATGCCTTAGTAATTACCCTTAGTACAGTAATTAAACATGCTCACTTATTTGTCCTTGACACATCCACACATGATAGGAGGTTGCAGACAGGCACTGCTACTTGAATCTTATGCCATATCCTGGAAAACCAGAGCGGGGAGTTGAGAGTGGTCTTTATTTTCTGCCTAACAGTGCTTCTTCTCTTCAGTCCCTACTTCATGGAGAAGCACGTGAAAGAGTGTTTCGGTACTCGCATGGAAATGCTGGATTATAAAGTCTCGTACACCAACCACAAGTCGTTTGCACTCGGTGAGACCTTCTGGCCTTTCTCTCATTTGTTTTACTCAGAAACTTGTTTAGTGTCATGTTTGCAAAGGGTTTTCGGAGATAACTGAGAGTCAGATGTGTCAGCAGCTCATGAAATACAATGTCCCTATACTGAAACTAACTAGGCAAATAGGAATGAGAGGTGCATTTGAAAGTGACAGTGAAGATGGAATATGCTTTCATCAAGGTCATAGATGAAAGCCTGCAAGAAGATAGAAGCTGGATGAACCCACTACCTTATGTGTCTGAAGGACATTGATTTTTTAACTTTTTTTTTTCCACTTCAAGTTACCCTTCTCCATTCTGTTGCAAGAAGTCATGACCAGGGAACTTCCCTGTTCCCAATTGCCTGCAAATATCTCAGAGTGAAAGACAAAAAAAAAAGAAGACAGAATTTAAGCAGAAACGATCGCTAAAGCTCTAGATGTAACATCACTGTAAGGTCAATGTAATAGACATTGAATCTATCTCGAGGGACATGGAGAATGAAATTGAGTTCTTTGAACATTCTTGTACTCTATCTGTAAAAGGTTAAAGTTGGTTTGGGAACTATTGGATGGAGCAACTTGGATCTAGGTCTTTATGTGGTTCACACTCGTGCACCTCCAGCAAAAGAACGAGCTTACGTGCCCCATAGTTTTTGTTCGATCGATAAGTCGATCAGGATACGTGTTTCGGACCCCATTGTGATGGCTTTTCCTCCGAATACCCAGGATCAACGGGATCTGGTCAAGGGTCGACGGTGAGAATCTTCACCGACATACGCAGCAAGGACTTCCCTCTTCCCGAAAAGGATGGCTATAAGTAGGGCCATTCTCTTTTGCCCGTGTGATCAGTCGTCCTGCCATTATTCTTTGCATCGTCGAGTGTCGTCTTGCAGGTTCTGCAGACCCTGTGAACGCTACGTATCTGCCGAGAACAGCCATTGTGGTGCTTGTGGCTCCTGCACGTCCAAGGTATGGTTAATTTATTCCCTTCACATTCTCCTCTCTGTGACTCATTGCCTTACTGCACATGATTTACATCACTTTGCATGCTTTAGATGACATGAGCAAATGAGTTACATCATGAATCTGTTTTGGGTAAATGATGCAGAGTGGCATGTACTCGTGCACACAGCAACGAGAAGGTGGAAAGCACCTCGTAAACGTGCCACGGAGGGCAAGGATTCCGTCATTTCCTTTTTGGCGCCACCATCGCATAAATTTAGCAAAAATTCTTGCCAGTCTCCTGCAGCCTTGCCGACATGGGTCTTAGTTGATTCTCTGCAATACTTCATAGCTCACGTTTCCCCCTGTCTCCATCGAAAAAGAAGAGAACCAAAGAGATTCCTTCGATTTCGGTATCAATTCGAGAAGCGAAATTCACTCAATAACGATGCGAACACTTCCTGCCTTTTATTTTTTTTCAAAAGGACGGCCGACCGTCCGTCCACTGCCAGAAGTGCCGCCGCTGCGTGAAACGGTCGTGGCAGCACTGCGACTCCTGCGACAGGTGCCACCACTCCGCCAAGGAGTGCCGGTTTTTCCCCGCCGACGCCTCCCGCGTGAGTCCCCGGGTGGAATTCGCACTCGGTTCTGCGTGACGTATTGTTTTTTGCAGGGACTGGCCGACTTCATTTTTTTGCAGGGCGAGGCGATGCGATGTTCGGAGGAAGATCCCGGAAACGGAAGAGCGAAAAAAAGGAAGAAATGCAGGATCTTCTTCTCTTCGAAGCACGATCGTATCTTCAAACTATTCTCCTTCGGTCGGTCGCGAAAGGTCCATGAATGTTTTTAGCACGAATATGGAATTGAATGAAAAAATTATTTTTTGAGTTGAATTTGATTCCTACTGCCATTCGGTGTGAAAGATGGGATTTGCAGATTGCCTCTCCATTTTTAACCAGCGCAAATTCCTTAGAATGGCTGGTTTATGCTGCTTCACATGCGTCTTTGTGCCAGCACACGTTTCTGTCACACTATTCAGACCCTTCACGAAAAGGCTCACATTGTGATGCAAACTGCACGGTTTGAATAATGACCCGAAAGTCTTTCCCTCTCAAGAAAAAAAAAAGACGCCTTGGAAGCGGAAAATATGTCTTTCACTGTCAAAATCGACTGTGGTCGATTTAAGAATGCCATCCTGCTAAGAATGCCATCGTCGACTGAAGTCGATTCGAAAGGTCATAACCCCCCAAAGCGCCCAGAGATGGCGCGAAAGGCGATGTTCCTGGCATTCAGGGTTCTTCAAAGACATACGATACTAAAAACAGGGCTTAGCATTTTTCACCCCCCCCCCCCAGTTACCCACAATCCCACCCCTTGTTTACGATCCTCTGCAGACGACCGAGTTTATTGTTATTGCAATCCTCTTTCTAAAAACTGCACACATTTTCGCAGACCCGAAAAAACGCCGACAACCTAGCGTCAATCTCACTTTAAAGGTCCGGCAGCGAAAATGTTGATAGCGAGGCATTTCCTCATGCCACACATCACTTACAAGAATGCCATCTTTCCCCGACACATCTCGTCGAGCAGTTCACTGTCGGTCCAAGCAGCTCACTGTCGGCCCTTCAACATCCAAACGTCTCAGTCCCACGAAAGCAATAAATTTATTACTTTATTTATTACTAATTTATTTATTTATTACTAATTTATTTATTTATTACTAATTTATTTATTTATTACTAATTTATTTATTTATTACTAATTTATTTATTTATTACTAATTTATTTATTTATTACTATCACTTGGTTGGACAATATCCATCCGAACAATTTTTTATTATTGAGTATTCATTGATGTAATTCCTGAAATAAATATCTGTCGTACAGGTCCAAATCACGAGTCAAATCGGGCTCAACTTGTTAACGGACTTGGTGGGAACCGCAGATTCAGTTCATGTTACGAATAAATAAATTACTCAGTTCTAATGAGGACACGTGAGACTGTTTCGCGGTCATTGTTTTCTTGGCACTAAGCACGCTCAATGCGAACGGAAAATGCGGTTCCCACCTAATCCGTGTTAACGAGGCGATTCTCGTCGAGCGTGTTCGCGTCAACGAAGCTCGACTTCATATTTTGCTGCTAAACCAGTTCCCCCTTCGCAGTTTTTTCGTGTCCTACATCGGAACATTCCGACAAAGGCGGTCACGAGGTCGACAGACCGCATTCCCGAGTCTTCACGAGGAGAATCGGCATGCCTCGATCGTATCGTCTTGCATCGCACGCTTCCTCATTTTGCCATTCATTTCCCAATTTAATTCCGCAAAGACAAAAGAGCCTCGCGGAAGCACGATCAGGCCTCACCAGCGACCCGCCTCACTTTCCCGCCTCACTTTCCCGCCTCGCTTTCCCGCCTCGCTTTCCCGCCTCGCTTTTCCTGCCTCGCTTTTCTTCCAGATGGTTCTCCATTGGGATGTCGCTCAGTCGATTCGTAAACAGGAGGGAGGATTTCCTCCTCCTGGTGCCATTCGAATTTTCTCCATCGATCATCGGACTGACGAAGAATGAAGAATATCTGGACTCTATTAGAACCGGCACTGCCTGACCTAATTTTCCTATTGACTACCCGCGGAAAATACTCCCCTTCCCATCGAATCCATTTACAAAAAATTAACTATATTTCAGAAAAGTTGGCTGGGGGTGAATTGTCCATGATCTCCTCCAGGCGAAATTGCAGCAAAACCACCAAATATGTGACTATCGTCCCGAAAACCTGGAAATAGAAAAATAGTAAATGATTGGTACAAGTTACCGCTCGCTCTTATATTATTTATCGAGACAGAGCGTGAACAATTGGTGATCGAACGCGAAAAATCAGTGATCGTTTCCAGTATATTTTGACCGTTGTCGATCTTCGATTTTAAAGAGATACATTCGATTTTAGAGTTTTAAAAGTCACCAATATATTCATGGAAATGCATCGGAATGTGATCTCCCTGCGATCGATACAGGCCAAAGTATGGCGGATGAAACACGAACAAGTCTTAGCATGTGGACGTGTGTCGACAGACACTTGAAAAACGTCAAGCCGCATAGTCGACGCACTCGCGACACGTTTTTCGGGATAAATATGAAGAAATTCAATCGGGACACATAAACGCGTCGAATGACACATTACTAGTATAACGTGTCATTTCTTTCCGTGCAGATTACCTCAACGGTCAGTCCTAAGGCTTCAATCCGCGCACTTCCCGCAAAAACGCAGACTCTGCAGTCAGTTAGACATAATTACAGTGCCAAGGACGAAGGGAAAGGAACTCACGGCAGTGAGGATTCCCTTATCGATCGTGAAGTAGTTGGAGGCAGTGATCCTCAACGGGTAGGCCATGACCTGGATCTGAAAGCTCTGCATCTGCTGCAGTATTTGGGGACTCAAGTTGGAGCCGCACTCCTTCGCGATCTCTTTCACCAATGACTCTGTCTATGCGAAAGGACGAGGGAGAAAATGAAAGCCAATCAGCGTGATAATTAAATCCCAGGACCAAGCGACCAAGCGGGTTTTCAGGGTTACGAAAGAGTTTCCATTTTAGAGAGTCCGAGAATCAATTGCGGTACGCTGATGCCATTCCATTGATACTTTCGTTGCATTGGGATTTAGTGCATTGCCCGTCGGACCCCCAACCGTTCTCACCTGAATGCGTCATTAGTCAAATATCCCCGAGAATATACCACGTTGGTGACTCACCCTATTGGAGACACTCCCTCCAGCTTTACAAACGACGACGAACATGGCAGCCGTGAAGAGAACGATGACAGACTGATCCACGACGTCGAGCATTCTCCCTGTCTCGTAGAACTCCGCACACAGGTAGGCAGTGACTGTGACGACCGCAATGCCGTCGAGGAAGCGGAGCATCATCGTGGGGTGGAAGACGCAGCTCGTGTGTTCCACGGCTTCGCTCACAAGGAAGTATCGCCGTCGGGTCTCTTCGATCGCGATGCTGAGTTTAGATTCCGATTCCTTCTGGTCTCTGGTCGTGTCGTTGTAGCCCGTCAGTGATTCCTTTAACTTAGTCACATTACTGGCGGAAATCGCTTCCAAAAGCTTGCATATGTACATGAAATTAAGCTCGATGGACGCGGGACAGCTGTAGATGACACTGTGAAATATGATGAAAGACAATCGACACCCAACGATGCAAAGTCTCGACTCTCTACACTGTTCATGAGATACGACGAATCCGAAGTGAAATGCCGTCCATGCAGAACACCCGAGATATGCCAAAGGGAGGAGGTAGCCATATCGCCTTAGACGCTTCTCGTCTTCCTGCAACAGGCCGATCTTCATCTCCAGTTCCTTCAGCATTTCAAGAAGTTTAGGGATATGCTTGGCTTTGAAAATATTGGCGCAGTAGACGGTGCACAAAATGAGGAAAATTTGAGCGGTTTGAATGACTAATGCGATTAGGCCCGTCGTCCCGAGTCCGGATGAACCTAAAGTATTTTTCTGGGTTACCTCATCATCTTCAGTGGCTTGAAAGGACGCCAGGCGATAGAGAACCTAATTTGAGCGGTTTGAATGACTAATGCGATTAGGCCCGTCGTCCCGAGTCCGGATGAACCTAAAGTATTTTTCTGGGTTACCTCATCATCTTCAGTGGCTTGAAAGGACGCCAGGCGATAGAGAACCTCCATGATGATGATGGGAAAACAGCCCGAAAATGGGATGCAGAGGAGTCCGTAGAGGAAGGCCAGACTGCAATAACGGAATTCCGGAGCCTCGCCCTTCCTCCCGATGGAACGGACCCGAAGGAGGGGAAAGGACCCACACAGCTTTCCCAAAACGGCCAGCACACGAAAATAATACAAGCCACTGGACTTCATGATGTTAAGGAGTTAGAGGTCGGAGGAAAATAGGATGAATGCAACCATCTTTGGCGTTATCTCTCGTTAGACGATCCGTCCGTTTACTTTTCGCTGTAGGCTCAGCCTCGTGAAAATGCATCGACCGGAGATATCACGATGGATGATAATTGGCTATCTTCTCAATGTATTCTTTTTGTACTCCATTTCATCAGTACCGCGCGCTTGGTCCCTCTATGACTATCACAAGTACCATGCCTGTCCCTTCACCATGATACCCCTTAAACGCTACATATCAAACTTGGTTTTGCTGTTAATTGAAGCAACCGGTAACACGGGATCTGAGAACTTGTTCCCGTTCCCTGTCCGCTTTGGACTGTCATATCACTGAATGAAACGGAAAATAGTCATATTCTCAAGTGAACTCTCATTGAAACTACGATTGGGCTGGAGGCTCCATGGAGTAATGAGCGGGAGATACGTATCTTGAGGCTGTACTTCCATGGACTGATTCTAGTGATTCGCGTCAAGCATGTACCACAGGATGGAGAGGATGAAGTGGACTTAAGTTCGCCCGTCTTTTTTTTGCCCTCTCTGAATTTTTTTTTTCATTTTTCGTTGTGCATTGATTTTCTCTTCGGCTTTATTTTTCGGCTTTATTATTCTTCAACTCTCTCATAAATATTTTTCTCCTTCCTTTAACTGCGCTCTGAGAAAAATTCTGAAATTGGATTGCTCACAAGAGAGTAGTGGTCAACTGTGATGGTTCTATTATCATCTTGCGCTTAATTGTTTTTCCTGTCGACTGACTATTTCCATCCCCCATCTCCCCCTCCCCCCTCCCCAAAAAAACCTGAAGGCAAAGGAGCTGAAATTGAACCTTGAAGATGTTCCTTTACCCATTTATGCCATTTAAGGGAAATTTTTTCACGACGTTGTTAGATAATGTAACAATATGGGAAAAAAATACATTTAG